AGATAAAAATTCATTAAAATACAACATAAAAACAATCCTAAAAATAAATAAATTCCAAGAAAATGGAAAATCTTCCTCCCTCTCTCTCCCTTCCCTCCCACTTCCTTCCTTCCTTCCTCCCTCCCTCCCTCCCTCCCATGGTCTCAGCCCAAGTCTGGGTCTGGTCCCAGTGTGCTAAACACCCAAAGAAACACCCCGAAGTGGAGATGGAAGCAAACTTTATTCTGCACAGAGAAAGGACACAAAGAGATCTCTCAAAGCTTGTGTAACCACCTTGTTCAGGGGTCATTTACAGTACAATTACCACGAACTCAACTCCCTGTGGTCACAGTGTGACCTTTCCTTATATGGGAATCTCTAACTGCTGGTTCTGCCAATATTTTGTAACAATTAGCAACATTTCACATATTTTGACTACACAGATCATCTTAATGACTCCACTAGCCCACATTTTCCATATATGTCTTGTTCTAGCAATTTCTTCAATCGCAATGCTTACTTCCTCCTGTGCGCCTTGTCCCAGGATATGTCTGGGTAGCCTTTAGCAAGCATTCTTTTGCAATATTTCAACTGAGCTTTTTCCTAGTAGCTTTCCACTTGAAAAACTTGTTAGCTTAGCAATTTTATTTTTTTAGTAATTGTTAATACTTTTATTGGCAATTACCAGTACCTTTTCACGTTCATCATTTCCCCCCGTTGAGACGAGGCGGCATCTTGAATGTCCACATAAGTCTCATTATTATGTTGCCTGTTCTGCAATTCCAGAAAATAGTTATTTTCCTGGGCTACGGGGTTATGATGGAGCAACCTAATAAGTTGTTGTTGTAAAATTAGTACCTTTTCATGTTCCTCCCTTCCTTTCCTCCCACATAAAATACAGGCTTGCGCCATTTGCCCTCCCCTCACGACTCTCGGGATAGCCCCGGTGAGGCTGCAGCCCCGCTCCCCAGTCCGGCGTGTCCCCAAGGGCCCCACCCTCGACCACCGGCACCCCCCCAGCCAGGCCTACCTCGCCAGCACGCATCCGACCCCTCCCTGCGCCTTCCCTCACCGCCAACTGCCATTAAGAGACTTAAACTTCCTGCCTCCTTGGCAAAGCAGCCAATCGCCGCTCGCCCGTCTGGCCTTGCCCCACCGGTTGGGCGCAGGGGACAGAGGAGGCGGGAAAGAGAGCGGGAGGGGAGGGGAGCGCCCGTGACGATCACGTGACCTGGGCTGGCCGCTACACCGCAGCGCTGGAGGAAGCAGCCGCAAGTCCCCCAAATTTCAACCCCGCGGGAGTCACGAGTTCTTACATTCTCTAAGTTAGCCCATTTGAGGTGCCTTGGTTCAGAAATGGTTGCGCTAAGACTACAGTTTCACCCAGCTGAGGGTTATAGAAACGAGAGTTTTAGTCGTATATAGATCAAACCTCAAACCTATAAAATCAATTGATAGCCAAGGCAGGAGGTACGTAACAACGATGTGGTTTGTTTATGGCCTCGATGTTGCGTGAACCGAACCACTGTGATTTGCAAACCCTGGTTAAGGTTTAGGGCAGTGTTGTCCAAACTTGGCCACTTTAAGAAGAGTGGACCTCAACTCCCAGAATTCCCCAGCCAGC